AATAAGTCCAATGTGACCGGATGTTCTTCAAACAAGAACATACTATATTCAATATCATCGATCGTTGCATTCGATATGCTACTGGATTGGAGATACCAGGCACGGCGATAACCAGTAACCTGGATGCATAACATCAGTGTTGGATGCAGTTTTGACCTACAAGGGTACTCTAACTCTGACGGAGAGGGTACTTTCAGCAACGACACTGCGAAAGCAGTCCGTAAGCCAAGGGGCGCTGAACTGAGGATGCGTACGCGTGGACAACAAGCTACGACGATCGAAACCAGACATGGCAGATTGCGCCATCTACTTCATGCCATGGAAGCTGGACTCAACAGGTTAGACATACCCCTTGTTTCCACACGACCACTGCATGAGGCATTGTTTGCCGCCAGCGCGCTCACCTTCTACAGCGAGGTGTCTCCACGCAACGCTCTGATCGGACGGCGACCGGCAATGCCCCCTGACTTGCCTGTCCTGGATCGCGAACAGCCGACGGAAACGTCGAATCATTCTCGTGAACCGATGATGCGCAAGGTATGCCTTGAAGCTATCACACAGGCCAAAGCAGTAGCCAAGACCAATCGTGCATTACGCACTAAGACAACTGTTACTGGTCAGCATTACTACGATGAAGGAGGTCTAGTTGATTACCATCGCCCCACAACCACGAAGGACGACTGGGGACGCTGTAATAGCCCATGCCCAGATGCAAGAAACGATCCCGGAAGGGGTCAAGTCATCATTCGAGTGGGAGACCACGGCGTTCAGGCACAGTACGGCGATGCACGACACTCCCTCTAGATTGAAGCCGTCTATGCAGAGAAATTGGCTCCGACAACACTGCGCTGCGGACAGTGTTGACGTTCGCGGCCAGTTTACCTGCGGGGGGACCTGCTATGACATTTGGCTATGTACCGACCGAGAAGGGGATGCTTCAGATGACAAGTGCAAGCCGTCTATCTCCTAAGTACGTCTAGCTTTACAATGCCGTATCAGAAGCTTCTTCCGCATTGAGAACGTAGTTTCGGTTAGGTTAGCCAAGAGTATACATAAGCTACCTCTGGTTGCTTACGCTGACAGTTGCACATTGGCCCGCTACGACAACGATGTGAATCCAGGATTTCATTATTATGAAGTAGAAGGCGCCGCTCTGAACATTCACAATATAACTGGATCAGCACATTCTCGAATTATCCTACAAGATGAAAAGGAACTGCTGGAGGCAACTCCACTAGAGGATTTTCTCGCGATATCCACGCAGATGATTCCAGACCGTAGTGCGCTGATCACTGTAGCTGAAGTGCAGCGGAGACCCACGCGACTCCGACACCGAGGAGACGTATCATGTCCCATTGTGTTCCATTGTCGAATACTGCAGTTGCGGACTGGACCCAGACGAAAATGGACCATCTGTAGAACTCTGCTTTTCGGCAGAAATGTCAGAGGTAGTCCTGTCCGAACAACAGCACATCATATTAGATGCCGACCGTGTGTGGCCGCTATGCAGGTATACGTTACCGCCGCTGCAAATCGAGCTGCGGTCGTCATGGAAGACGACCGTTTCGCGATGGCTGACGTCCGGGCGCACGCCGAGAAAGTATCGAAGGCCCTCCACACAGAACTCCAGACACGGTTTGACAACAAGTGTTTGAAAATGCAAGACATACCTAAATTGTCAAATATGATGACTTCGAGGCACGTGTACAGATGTAAGTTTGTGAAGAACGAGAAGGGCGAGATGGAACGTGCCACCGGAATGCGCATGGTGCATCGAGGCTCCATGGGCCTGGAAGCCTTCGACGTGGAAACCTTTTCGGGGGCAGCGCGGCCCCCGAGCCAGGGACTACTCGCGAGCGCGGCAGCGTGCAAGAAGCAATGGGTCATTGCTTCCCTCGACATCAACATGGCCTTCTTGAATGGGTCGACCTGCCAGGAACTTGCTGAAGCAACTGGTGTAATGGATCGTGTGGCGTGCTGTACTTTGCCGCCTGGATCGGCCACGGTGCTTCGGACTCTCTCAGTGTTCGAACACTACGACGAGTCAACGCACACCTTGCAGCGCCGTGAACCAGGCACCGGCACCAAAGCCGCACCCCGAGCTTTCTCACTAAAGCTCAGAAGGACCACAAGAGGTTTTGGTATCCGACCCACGTCCTACGACGAGGAGTTCGAGACGAGCAGCCACCTGTTTACGGCGAAACCAGTTGACGATCTCAATATGTCCGGCGCTGAGGACACCAGTGGCAAGTATGTTAAGTGCGTAGAAGACACCCTTGGTAAGTGTAAACTCAACAAGCACACGTGCGCCAATTGTGCTGTGATATAGACCAAGGATGAGGACGGCAATGTTACTTTGGACCAAGACGAATACATCAAGCAGCTCCGTCCTACACAACATTCTGAACTTACCGGCGCCGACGCTAACGCTCAGGCATCCAATGCGGTTGCAGACATGTTCGTCAGCCTCAGAGGCGCGCTGGCGCATGCATTAGCCACCCAGGTGTGGTTGATGGTGCATGTTGTATCTCTACAACGTGTCCAAGAACCGACAAATATACAAGTGCGACGATTGGACGTGATCACCAGGAAACTGCATGCCTGTCCCAAGAGGATCGTCTATCAGGCGATGACCCCTACGGGCGAGGTCGACCTGCGCAGCGACTCAGGATACCGACGCCTGAGTGGAGACGCCGATGACGACGTCAAAGGCTATGGTATTCGCGGGGCAAACTTGCTACGGCGTGGAAGCTCGCCATCTGGTAAGCCCGTCGTCCACTTGATCGACGCGCGCTGCAAGTCCCACCGCTTCCGGGTCCGCTCGAGCAAGCAATTCAGCAGAGACACGAACTAGCAGCTGCCCATCAGTTGGAGGACTGGTCTCTCACGATCGTGAGTCTGTGCGAGCTCTATGCAGGGTCGCTCAGTCCCTCTCAGTTGAAAGACGTACATGAGTTGGGTGGCCTGAGCATCAAGGTCGCTTTGACCATAGATGCGTGGTCTGCATGGAAGTTCTTGTCAAGCAAAGACTTGAAGAAGCCGACGCATCAGTTGGATACGGATCGTGCACAGTATTCAGTGGCGCGACACCCGCGATATGACTGCGGATGGTCGCGCCAAGGGGAGCATCGACAGAGAGATGTTCCTACAGGTCATGGGAGGTATACCGTCCTTCAAACATAACTTAAAGAGTCCCACTCCCTATTGGGCTGGCCAGACATCCTGTTCTGTGGCCGCCTGAGGAGTATCTTTATGTACAAAATAGTACAGGCAAGGCAGCTTGCGCGCGGGTCCACCTTCCTTGCGGCACCGCCCTGTCGCTGCCCTTTTGTAGAGAATCGCTGCTGTATCTGCTGTATAGAAGCGGCGGGTTCACGCCTCGCCCCCCTCCCCCCCCGACTCTAAAGTGAGCTGGGCGTTGCACGTGAGTGGGAGCGAGCGTGCATCCGCGGCTGCTTGGTTCAAAGCTGCCGGCCGCCCAGATCTGACTACACCTTAGCTTAGGGAGCTCCACCGAAGGCCCCAGTGGCAGCGTTCGCATGGTGGCCCCGCCCCATTTCGGCGCACCCCTCACGAGGATCGTGGCCCCATAGGGAACTCCACCGAAGGACCCAGATGCAGCGTTCGCATGGCGGCCCCGCTTCATTTCGGCGCACCCCGTACGAGGATCGTGGCCCCATAGGGATCTCCACCGAAGGCCCCAGTGGCAGCGTTCGCATGGCGCCCCCGCCCCATTTCGGCACACCACTCACGAGAATCGTGGCCCCATAAAGAGCTCCACCGAAGGCCCTAGTGGCAGCGTTCGCATGGCGGCCCCGCCTCATTTCGGCGCACCCCGTACGAGGATCGTGGTCCCATCGGGAACTCCACCGAAGGACCCAGTGGCAGCGTTCGCATGGCGGCCCCGCCTCATTTCGGCGCACCCCGTACGAGGATCGTGGCCCCATAGGGAGCTCCACCGAAGGCCCCAGTGGCAGCGTTCGCATGGAGGCCCCGCCCCATTTTGGCGCACCCCTCACGAGGACCGTGGCCCCATAGGGAGCTCCACCGAAGGCCCCAGTGGCAGCGTTCGCATGGTGGCCCCGCCCCATTTTGGCGCACCCCTCACGAGGATCGTTGCCCCATAGGGAGCTCCACCGAAGGCCCCAGTGGCAGCGTTCGCATGGCGGCCTCGGGCCATTTCGGCACACCCCTCACGAGGATCGTTGCCCCAGAGGGAGCTCCACCGAAGGCCCCAGTGGCAGCGTTCGCATGGCGGCCTCGGGCCATTTCGGCACACCCCTCACGAGGATCGTTGCCCCAGAGGGAGCTCCACCGAAGGCGCCAGTGGCAGGGTACGCACGGCAGCCCCGGGCCACTGCGGCACATCCCTCACGAAGATCGTGGCCCCATAGTTGTGCTGCTTCAACAACTGCGCCTGGGCGTCGTACTCCGCCTTGTCGACGTGCAACGCCACCTCCTCCCCCATGGTTTTCAAGGCCCCTTCCTGCTTCTGCTCCTCGGTGAGAGGGTCGCCGTCCTTGTCGCCGTGGGCGCCCGCGAAGACGGCCACGAACATGTCCCTGAGCATGTCGGGCTCCTGCGGGAAGCCGTGGCCACATAGGGAGCGCGGGCGAAGATGGTATTCACAATTGCAGTATTCACAACTGCATATGGTTGGGTCCTTCGCCAGGCGAATTCACAAGGGATGGTGGGGGGGTGCCCGCTTTGACCCAGGTTGGCTCCCAGTCGCCTGGGGGAGGGGGTGTATATAAGTAGGGAGCAATAAAAGAACCCCCCCCGAAGGGGAAGGAGGAGGGGTGGATGAGGAAACGCTCTAAACCACCAACGCCCATAGGGCTGGTGGTATATATATATATGTATATACACACATTCCCGCCGAGGAGTTTTCCCTGTGACTTCAAGGGGTGGTGGCGGTGTGCTAAATCCTTGGACCGTAGCGGTGATTTATACACCGGCGCCCTTCTCAGGAGGCCTAGTATATGAGTTTGTGGCGGCAGGTCCTCCAGCACAGGGACCGCATGACCCGCCTATTCCAGCTTGCGGACACGGGCGGCCAGCCAACATGGGCAGGTTACGCGAGGGCCACCTCTAATTTGAGCGACTCCACTCTCTTGGGGGGAACCGCCCCCTTGTAGGATGCCCCCCTCCCTCGTTTCGAAAGCAGGCCGCCCCCGCCCGTTTTCGCCCGCGGCCAAGGACAGGAACTCGGACGGGGTGGTCGACAGGAGGGAGTTCCGCCGTGTCTTCGAGAAACCCGCGATCAAAGCTTGGCTGGAGGCCATGGAGCTGCGCTGCGACGACGCCGACACGCTGTTCGTTTTAATTGCGGGCTCTGAGAACGGCGTGATCACCCAAGACGAGCTGATCAACGGCATTGCCCAGCTAAAGGGGCCGGCCAGGAACATCGATTTGCAACAATTGTTACACAGCCGGGATGCCAGCGAGGCTATGCGTCCCAGGAGATCTTTGGCCAGCAGGAAGTATGTGAGTCCCAAGAGATCGTTCCGCTGAGGTGCTCAGACAGGTTGGCTAACGCTGCCCCACCTTGGCCTCGTCTTCTTCCTCCGCACCTCCACGTGTGGGAAGACTGATCTGAGAAGGATCGGTCCTACGACGATTTTGGCAGTTTGTTTCCTGCCTGTGTTCCCAACGGTTCACTCCACCGTTGTTGTTTAAGCGCGAAAGCACGCCTCTGAATTGGCTCTTTTTCCAGCTGGTAGTGTTGAGCGCCCTACATCACCACCTCCCCTCCCCATGCTTCTACTGCTACGACACTTGAAACAAGCGCAGCGCTGACGAACGTGCTCCTTCTCAGTCTCTCCGCTCCGTCGATGTCTCCAAGACCGCAGCTGCGCAAAAAGGGGGGTGTTCCTCCTCTCCTTCTCTTCATCAGTGTGGTGCTTCAGATCCTGTAGGACGCGGCACGGCTGTTCAGCGACTCTTCATGACATGCAAGGCGAGCGCGATGTGATGAGCAGGACTAGGTCATCATGATGAATAGTTTAATGATGGTGACAGTGTTGTTCATGATGGTGTTGATGACGATGGTGCCGATACCTCACTCGATCCGCGGGACTCGGGAATCGAGCGCTTGACCGTGTGAGGATGTCTGATTCTTCTCCCCAGAGGCGAGAGACTTCTGAGAAACTCTGGAGACCTGCATGGGAGGAGCGCGGTGATGTTGATGATAAGCTGCGATGATGATGTTAATGATGGCGCGGTCAACTATAGGTGACGCAGAAGCAAGAGACCCAGAGCTCCGACGTCGTGATTTTCTTACAACGCGGACCCCTGGAGGTCTGGCCTTGCTCCCCGGGATCAGCTTTTCATCCCGAATCGTTCTTTGACGGCCACGGGGCCCGGTGAGGCCCAGATGATGCTGAACACCGCGAAAAGCCTCCCGTTTGCGTCTGTGGTCGGTGGCGCGCTCCAAGGGGGGAGTGAGAGGGGGCAGGCCTTCTCAGAAGGCAGCGGGCCTTCTCAGAAGCCCTCCGGCCTTCCGAGAACAAGCCATGCACTGCGTGTTTTCGGAGAAGTTTGAAATAGAAATTGCCCCAGAAGGCCAGCGTCTGGGACGGCCCACCCTTTCTGCCTTCTTTCCCTGAGCGCGCCATAGATGTGTCCCAACCGTGCTGTGGTGTTGGGTCCGAATACGCAGCGCCCTGCGCCGCCTTCCTCCTTTTCTTCTCCATCCTTCTTCCTTACCCAGACGTGTCGGGAGGGCGGGCCTGGCGTTTCGCTTGAGGTTTCCTCGCCATCAATGGTCTTGGAACTTGAACTATGCAAGAGTTTGACGGATTGATTGAGGGCGGACAGTTTTCAAAATGTGGTTCTCGTTTCAGCGCCGCGCACATTCGACCCAAAAGTCTGCAGCGTTTGCACGAATGGAGGGCGATTCCCTTTCAAAATGCGGTTCTGCAATTGCATCGCGCACATTCGTTTCGGGCCGATGACGGCCGTCGTCTTGGAGGGGGCGGGAGGGGTCTGATGACGTCACGTTTCGCGCCTGCGGCGTCTGGGAATCCCTGGGAATGACCAAGGACGGGTAGCAGCAGCATGTGGTCGGCGATCTGCACCACAGCGCTTGTGTACACTACAATGCCTGCATGCACCACAGCGCCTGTGCACATGTGTACACCACACCGCCTATGTACACCACAGCAGCCGCGTGCAACACAGCGCCAGTGTGTGTCACAGTGCTTGCATGCATCACAACGCTTGTGTACACCACAGCACCTGCATACACCACATCAGCCGTGTGCAACACAGCACCGGTCACCAGTGTACACCACAGTGCCCGCGCGCACCACAGCCCTTGTGTACACCACGGCGCCTGTATGGACATCAGCAACAGTGCGCAACAGAGTACCACTGTTGCTCGTCGAATTTTCAAGGAATCCTGATGACAAAATGAAGCGCCTGTGCATTCCACAGCAAACGCGCTTTTCATGTAGAGTCTGGGAAGCAAATCTTTAGGAACAAAGAGCGCCGCTGGAATCTACGAGTCCTACGGAGTCCTCCCGCATCATCCTGATTCTTCCCATTTGCGTTTAGAAGGCTCCCGCAGGATTGGCTGCCCAAGAACCAAGTGGACTGATTCAATATACCTTTCTGCGCCGCACACTGAGATGCGCACGTGCGCTGAAGCGCCGACTCGCACGACGGGGGGAAGAGTGAGGGAGGAGGAGGAGGAAACGGATGAGGAGAATGAGGGGGAGGAAGACGAGGAGAAGGAGGTGGAAGAGGAGGTGGAAAAGGAGAAGGAAAAAGGTGGAGGAGGAGGAGGAGGAGGTGGAGTAGGAGGGAGAAGGGAACCACATCGCATTATATTATGAGCACTTCCTGAGCGTGGTGTGTAGCTGTCCGCAGCAGATCCTCACCTACATGATCCTTCTACTTGCCCTGTGCCCGGAAGCAGTGTGGTGTACACCAGCGCTGCGTTGCACGCGGATGTTGTGGTGTACGCAGGCGTTGTGGTGTGCACAGGCGCTTCGGTGCACGCAAGCATTGGTGTACACAGGCGCTGGTTTGCACATGATTGCTGCGGTGTACACATTCGCTGTGGTGTACATCAGCGCTGTGGTGCACTCAAGCACTGTGGTGTACACAGGCGCCAGGTTGCACACGGCTGCGGCGGTGTACACAGGCGTTGTGGTGTACACGTGCGTTGTGGTGCACGCGAGCACTGTGGTGTACACCCGCGCTGTGGTGCAGATCGCCACCCGCATCTTGTTCCTACTTGGCCCGGTCATCCGTAGGCATTCCCGGACGGCGTTGAGCGTGACGTCATTTGGGGGCGGGGGGGCGGGGTCGATGGAATCTACAAAACAGGTTCTTTCAACGATCCGTATTGCCGACGTCCCGAAATTATGTTCTTGCGCAGTTCATAACTATCAGGACCTACCAATCGCGTTGATGCGCGGTGCTGAAATCCCAGGAACGGCGTTTCGGTACGATTTCTGTCTCTTCGGGCGCAGCAGTCAGGTTGATCTGCGGCCCTGATGTCCCGCGAACGGTTTTTGGGTACGTTTGAGGATTCTCAAACATTTATTGCGAAGGCCTTACGGCCGGTGCCGCCGACCCTGGAGGGCGACCCATGCGTTCTCGTATGTGGCGGGGGGGGCCTCTTGGGGCTTCCTGGGGGCGGGGGGGGCGTCGTATCTGAGTGGCGCCCCCCCCCCGGGACCCCCCCCCGGGACCCCCCCGCTACCCCCCCCCCCCTCCCGGCGGGGGAGGGATCAAAGGGAAGGGGCTTCCCTTCGACTCAAATACGACGTTGCTGAAGTTCATTTGGGCTGGCGCGCTTGAGCAGGGGCCCCTGCTGGGACAGAGGACGGGAGTGGCGACGGGCCCACGGAAAGGGAGGCGCAAGGAAGGGGGACGACAGAGACGACGACCAACGAACAACGGAGATCGTCTCGAACGGAAAAGCCCCTCACACACGCCGACAGGGTCGGCGGATTTTCTGTTGGGCCACACTCCGCAATAACATGAATTCTTGTGGGTACCTATGAGGAGGGAACTTGGACGGAGGATGTACTGTAACATCGTTGATCCGTCTTGGGTTTACACTGGTCCTCCTCTTCCTCATCATACCCCCTCCCTCCTCCCATCCCTGCCTCTGCCACCGCATGCCTATGCTTCCGCACATCCCTCACACGTTTCGTGACCCATAATGAGGCTTTCCCGAAGGCCCCAAGGTAGCGTTCCCGCAGGACGCACCCGCCTCCAGTTCGGCAGACCCCTCACACGGTTCGCGGCCCCATAGGAAGCTTCCCAGAACGCCACAGCGGCAATTTGACACACCCCTCACCCGTGCCGTGGCCCCATACGGAGCTGCCCCGAAGGCCGCAGTGGCAGCGCCTGCATGGCGCGACAACTTCGGATTCGAAACACCCATCACGCATTGCGTGGCCCGACAGGGAGTTCCCCCGCAGGCTCGACTCCTCGGGTGTGCGGGGTGCACCTTCACCGCGACGCTGCGAAAGCCTCCCCAGGCATCAAGGCGGCGCGCAATTCGTGGTGGCGGAGGCTGGCTGGCACCTTGCGAGAGCACGTGGTTGACATCCTGCGCGGGGGCGTCAGCATGGCGCTCGCGCAGACGCTGCCAGGTCTTCGGGCTCAAGGTTTGCAGGTGGGGACTGCCGCGGCGTGCATCTGGCGCGGGTTGGACGGCGCCCCGCGCTTGGACAGCTGCGGCATCTTCGTGCTCGGCAAGCCTGGCGAGTACAAACTGCCGTGGCAGCTGAGCGACCTGCGCGACAGAGACGAGACGGGTTTGCTCTTCGCAGGGACGTCGGTGATCCAGGAGCTTGGGTCTTGCTGGAACAGAACGAGCAAGGCAGTGGCCCTCGCGGCAGCGGGGGCCTCCGCCAACCCAACTTCACAGCCGACGCATTGACGCCACAAGAGGGCGGGAGGCCCTGGGATGCCGCGCAGCTGCTACCACCCAAAGAAAGACGCCCGCGAACACCTTCGGGATGTGCTGGCGCCGTCAGCCGAATCCGAGCGCCAGGTGCGAGCGACGGCGCAGGAGAAACAGAGGCGCGCTGAAGCTGAGACTCGCGGAGACCACCGCTTCTCTAGCACTCGCAAGGTGTTGCTGTTCCGTGGGGCGCAGAAGCTTTCAGTGGAGACTGTGGATGTGGATTGGCGGTGGCACGGCGGCGCCCACTACCCTCTCTTGTTCCAAATGAAGATGGGCAGCGCGCGTTCGCCGCAGAGAAAAGAAGAGAGGCACAGCGAGGAGAGCAAGAGAGAGAGAGAGAGAGAGAGAGATAACAACATAACAATACAGCAGAGCAGGGAGAGGCGCCTCGACGAAGAACAAGGAACTGCTTTCGAGGGCGCCGCAGCAGCGGCGCTAGAGCAACGCGAGCCCGCGCGCCAGCCACCGGAGCGGCGCCGCGAAGGCGGCCAGCAATTTGACTACGGTTGGGCCGCGGCTGGCCCGCGGCGAAAATGGGCAGACGAAGCCGTGGATGAGGACCACAGTTGGCCCGCGGCTGGTGACGCATGGTCGCGGCGCGGGGGGTCAAGAGGGGAGGGTGGAGATGAAGGGGGAGGAGGGGGAGGGGGGGGAGAGGAGGAGGAAAACGGGAGGATGAGGAGGGGGAGGAGGAGGAGGAGGAGGAGGAGGAGGAGGAGGAGGAGGAGGAGGAGGAGGAGGAGGAGGGGGGGGAGGAGGAGGAGGAGGAGGAGGAGGAGGAGGAGGAGAGAGGGGGGAGGGAGGGGAGGAGGAGGAGGAGGAGGAGGAGGAGGAGGGAGGAAGGAGGAGGAGGGGAGGAGGAGGAGGAGGAGGAGGAGGAGGAGGAGGAGGACGAGGGAGGAGGAGGAGGAGGAGGAGGAGGAGGAGAGGAGGGGAGGAGGAGGAGGAGGAGGAGGAGGAGGAGGAGGAGGAGGAGGAGGAGGAGGAGGGAGGAGGAGGAGGAGGAGGAGGAGGAGGAGGAGGAGGGAGGAGGA